CTTGCATGCTGTCAATAATACTGTCATTTGCAGCCACTTCTAAGGATCTTTGAACCCATCTTGAAGAATGCTAGTAAAGAGCTTCTCCAAGGGAGTCACACAAGATCCATTTCTATATCTACTCCTTCAAACAGTGGCATTATGAAATTTGCTAAAAAACAACTGACTTGCATTGGATGCAAAGCTTTAATCAGGTAGAGAACATTGCCTGTTTAACACTCAAGCTGCTCGTTAGATTCAAAATACCATAGATTATTTCTTTGATGTGTAGTTTCCTCCTTTTTGTAATGAGAGCTTTAAAGTGCACATGTTAAACTGATTCATTCACGGGTATGGTGGACAGCAATATTTTGAAAAATTAAATTGACTTGTACATGGGTATTGTGCACAGCAATGTTCTGAAAAAGCCATGCATTTAAAAGAAATCTTGCAGTTGTGCATTTATTTTTCAACTACTTTCATTTCTATTTTTTTGTCCCTTCAAAAGAAAGAAGATAAACAACCCACCAAAATGAATGGTAGGAAAAAAAATGAAGACAAAATAGTAGCACCAGTAATCAGGCTAATAATTCTGTATTGACAATTCTTATGCCTTCAACCAGCAATTCAGATCATACTCTCTGCCCTCACTGCAAAGGAAGAGAGGCTGAACTTTACTGCAAGTCTATAGCTAATGGTATGCAAGAAATTCCTTTACTTTTCTATTATATTGGCATAAACTCAAAGAACTTACCAACTACTTGATAACTACTAAGAATGTGTTTTTTTAAGTTGCTGAGTTGGAGCAGCTCTTTGGGAGACTATGGACACAATGCCAGGAGTGCCAAGGCTCTCTTCACCAGGATGTGTTGTGCACTAGGTTAGATGTGTGATCCATCAACTTGGTTTTGTATACGTGCTTATATTGAGTTATATTTTGTTTTTAAATTTTTTACATTATATTGAGCTGTCACAAGAAGTGAGGTCCCAATCCATGTTGTCTATATATTATATCCTTGCTCTTGTAAGTTAAAAGAAAAGGAGGGGGCACGAGTTAAATACAAGAGAACCAAAAAAGGAGGC